GTTCAGTGGGACTCTTTATCAGTGATGATATCTCTCCTGCTGTATTATCAATTTCGTTACAGCATATTTGGATGATGATAAATTAAACAATAAAGTTATTAACAAAATTTTTGAATTCATACAATGGAGTTATATATAGAAAAATAATTAATTTTTTACATCATTTAAATATTAAATCTTTTGTCAATAATAAGTCGTAACGGCCTAGTAGTTAAAGGCTCGCCTCTTATGCATAAGGGCGCGGGTTCGAAACCTGGCAAGTACGGATGTGATTGTTCCGAGTCATATGTACTTTATAAGAGTATTTAGATATCACTGACAGACTGCGTAGGCGCAGGCACTACTGACAGTTATAGTGAAGTCGATATATAACGAAATAATTGGAATTAAAAGTTTCCAAGAAGACTACAGAAGTTGCCAATTAATAAAACGAATTATTTACTTGATATCAGTCACTATCTCTAACATATATATATATATATATATATATATATATATATATATATATATATATATTATGTTTTTCCTCTCTCTTCGGCGCTAATTATATGTGTACCAAAATCATTGACCCTTTTAATTTATCTCTGTGTAATAAAACGAAAACTTTAACCTTTCGTTTTGTGTCGTCGGTGCGTTAAAAGAATTTGTGTCGGCGACTTACTGTCTGAGGGACAGCATCTATTGATGATGTGATTATAGTGATGGGCTGATGCGTTATCGATGTTTATGTATCGATATAATAGAATACATATGTATGTTAGTCAGTGGTGGCCTAGTGGTTAACAGGCCCGCCTCTCATGCATGAGGACGCGGGTTTGATCCTGGCCCTGGCAAGTACTAATGTGATTTTTTCGAGTCATATGTACTATAAGAGTATTTAGACATCACTGATTAATGCATTCCCAAAGAGGGTCGATGTCAGACAGGCGGCCGGTCGTAAAAACAATTAGCCAAAACTATTTACAACACGTAAGTCAGACCCTGGCTAAATCTGGCAAATTGCCAGGTAGAAGAAGTAGAGAATAAATATATTAATTCAATACTAAGTTGCGAATGTACTATCTGTTTACGAATAGAAAGTGTGTACAATACATCGATTGAGTACATCCTTTTAATTTATTATGTCTGGCAACATAAACCCTCTTTGGGAATGCAATAATCAGTGATGTCTAAATACTCTTAGAAAGTACATATGACTCGGGAAAATCACTTTGGTATTTGCCAGGATCGAAACCGTGCCCTGGTGCATGAGAGGCGGGCCTTTTAACCACTAGGCCACCACTGACTTCTCTATATAGGCCAATTAACTGCTTGTCATATTAATTCATATAATCGTTTTATCACAGCGAATATAAGTGTTTAGATTTTAAGTTTTCATTCTTGGTAAGATTGAGTAATAAAATTATAAGATATTACATTAAAATTTATAATAAAATCTGGTAAAGGATGGACCAAGAGGATTCCTTAAAATAACTTATCTGTAAGTATAGAATTACAACTGGTTTTACGTGTCACTAATGATCTAAGAAGACAAAAAACTATAGATTAAGCGTACAACAGTTTACAAATCATACTTAAAAGTCTTACTCTACCCTTAATACTAGTTCCCACGATCAGACAGACAGTAACCAGTCTTTTATTCCTAAATTATTACCATCATAATAAACTGAAAAGTAAATGTATTTTGTTTGGGAAGGCGAAATGCTCTAGTTTATAAGATAACTTCGTTAAACTATAGATATCATCATCATCATCATCATCCTATCAGAGCCCACTGCTGAACTGCCTCTTCTCACATGGAGAAGGTTTGAGCATTAATCACCACGCTCGCTCAAGACGGGTTGGTGATTTCAAACTTATAATTTGCTATTATAAGTCCAAATCTTTTCACGATGTTTTCCTTCATCTATCAGTGGTGTCTAAATAATCTTATAAAGTACATATGACTCGGAAAAATCACATTGGTACTTGCCAGGTTTCGAACTCGCGCACTCATGCATGAGAAGCCGTCCTTTAACCACTAGGACACCACGTCTTTAATAAATATTCAATACAAAATTCATATCGCCCAGGACTCGAATCCCGCACTCCATATGACGCAACTGTCATTTCTAATATTGAGACAGACATCAATAAGTCAGAATGACATCAATCTTGTAACACTATCGATACTACACACAACACTAATTACTATTATCATAATTATTATTGTGTTATGTTTTCGTGACCTAGCTGGCTTTATGCGGGAGGGAGACAACAACTTATAAATATACTAGAAGACCCGGCGAACTTCGTATCGCCCTATAATCAAGAAATATCTGTTACATTTTTTTATTTATATTTTTGGAGTTTACCTATTAAAGCCATAAATCTCCGTATTTTGAAGTGCGACAGAATGATTGACATATTAGTTGTCAAACCTAATGTCAAAAAAAGTTTGTATCAACAACTCCTAATAAATTAAAAATTAATTAAAAAAACATTGTCCAGCGGACAAAATTGTGAATTTAAACCATTCCCAGATCCCCTTGAACACACACAAAAAATTTCATCAAAATAGGTCCATTCGTTTGAGAGAAGTTAAGTAACATACACACTCACAGAAGAATTATATATATAAATATTTGGTTGTGTTGCATCTCGCATAACTCCATCCCAATTATCATCAGTACACAGATTCGTTTCTTATTAACCAAATAGTGTTTCAACTCCGCCCGGCTCGGTGTATTGATTGCTAGTGTATTAAATATTTTGTGAAAATTACTATTAAGTATCGTGTTAATGATTATACAACGAAATGACAGCACAAGGTAACATATACATATATTTATATTTTAGTTTTTATACTTATATACGTATGTAAAAAGGCGTTTTTCTTTAATGGCGTCGTACATATATTTGTTATTATTATAATTATCTTATTTATAGTGAGTTCATAGTTTGAATATATATAGGTTGTCCCATAAGTTTCTTCCCTTTTTTTGATGCGAAACGAATACACGATATTTATTGTTTGAGGTTGATTTATTGTGTTATATATGAATCGTTCTGTTCTATAACCTTCTTTCATCTCTCAGGAAGCCTCATTATGCCCTCTTTCCAAAATTGTTGAGGCTTACTTGTAAAATATTCGTCTGTGTGCGTTTTTATTTCGCTTATGGATTTGAAAGATTTACCACGGAGATATTTTTTAAAGAAGAGGAACAAGTAATAATCGGAAGGAGCAAGGTCTGAGGAGTACGGAGGATGAGGTAGAACGTTCCAATCGAACTGTAATAATTTTTGTCTCACGACCATCACGACGACACGACGAAGAAGCAAATCGCACGTAGAGACGCGGTTTATAAGGCAGGTCTCCGTCAATAGGTGTGGAACCCAAACTTAATACCGATTTGCATATCCCATCTTGATCAAATGCTTATGTACCGTTGTCTTGGGAATGTTAGTGTCATCCGCTATCTCGCGGATTTTCAGAGAGCACAGTTTTGATAAGGTCCGCATCCGTCGTTACTGGGCGGCCGCTGCGGTCTTCATCTTGTAAATCAAATTTGCCGGCTCTAAATTTCTTAAAACAATTGCGGACGGTCCTAATGGTCGTAGTACCACTCCCGTAAACGGTGCAAATCTCGACTGCAGTGTTCTTTGCACTATTGCCTTTTTTAAAGCAATTTTACATAACATGCCGTAAATGCTTCTTTTGATTCTCCATATTGAACGGGGCAGTTTTTTTTTTGAAAGAGGCTTTGTCACCAACGAAACGTACTTTGAAAGAGCTCTGGGACGACTGAAACCGATGCCATAAACGGCTAAGAGATATGCCTGCATGTTTATATAAGCATAGCCAGTCAGAGTCATTCATAGCGTAGCGCGGAAGAAACTTATGGGACACCCTAATATTTTTAATATAAGTATTTGATTCGATCGTCAACTTTGTGTGGTGTAAGTATTGTTTATTAGTAATGATAGATTAGCCTTACTACCTGTTTTGACGTGAATGATTGCGTTATGAGATGTAAGTTTTTCGCGAGTATTCATTTAAATGAAACTAATATTATTGGATTATACTAAGTAACTTTATTTTTGTAAAAAACTACACGATCTCATCTCGTCTTAATGATCACGGTTGCTGTAAAGTAACCGAAACGTCGGGAGTATGTAGTTTATAATCAAAAAGATATTTGTTTCTTTTAAATGATTAAGTTTCTGAGTAACTCTCAATTACTTCGTGTGCTGTTCCCTAGTAAAAGAATAGTATTATGCTTCGAAAGTTCTGAAGCTTTAAAAAATTTATGTTAAATTTAACAACAGTAGGTTTAAATTTAACCTTGGCGGTATAAAACTTTAAATTTAATCTCCTTGTGTATACCGACACAGAAATTATTGCTGAGTTTGTTAACCCCACTATCAAGAGTGAGATAAAATTATCATAAATAAAAAAATTAATTCACTAGTCAAGGTTGGTAGCCGCTATGTGGCGTTTGATAGTGATGTCCTTCAGGAATTTTGTATGACATAGTATCGATTATCGATAGAGGAATCTGTTTGTTTGTCACACCTCTATCATATATGTTATGCTAGCTTTTACCCTCCACTTTGCTCGTGTTAGTTTTGTAATTAGAGATGTATAGCTGATCATACGAACTGTTTCGATTTAGAGGCAGTAAATAAATTATGGATTTTATTAGCAATTTTTTTTTTGGTCGAACGAATTCAATAGTACCTTATGTCCGTCTTCTTGTTCTAATCTATATCTCCACCAATTTTCAACCATATCCCTACAGCCGTTCTTGAGTTATAAATAGTGTAACTAACACTTTCTTTTATATACAAAGATACATTATTTACGAAAATTTCTTTATGGGAGCTTCAAAAGTTTCATCATGATTGTTCCATGCGATAAAGCTTGAAAAAAAATACGAATAGATGTAAAAGGAAGGAAAAAAATTGTTAGAAATATGATATCTGTTCCATCTTCTAATGTAATGGTCTTCTGTTTCCAGTTGAACCGTCTCATGACGGAAATCTACGAGACTGTGACAGCTGCTTGCAACATGGAAGAAAATAAACCGGGGAGCTTCCCCACAGATCTTTCTGACACCAGTGAAGGTGAGTAGACCGAGTAGACCGAGTAGAAATCAAAAGACCGAGCTTTCAGCTTAGGTTGATCCAGTAGACCTTAGTGATATTCAGCTCAGAGAGTCTCGTGAAAAGTTTTTTGATTATATCCTAAACTGTAGACCCATATACAATCTTTATCATATATTATCTTCTTCTACCTGGCAATTTCCCAGCTTTAGCCAGGGTCTGCCTTACATGTCGTGAATAGTTTTGGCCAATTTTATTTTAACCAATTTTATCATATATATCTATCTTTCCAGAATCAGTGAAATTAACCAGAAGTTTAACAGAGAAACGTAAGAATTACGTCCGTCGGGTGTCATCTCGAGTAGCGTATTTGGACAAAAATGCAAAGAACAACAGATTTAGACACCAGACATCTATCTGTTCTTACAAGTCAGAGATCATAGATAACCCATACTCGACCTTCCGTTCCTGGAAAAGCTTCAGATCTTCCCAGGGGAATTTGAGCAGGATGAAAAACGACAGCGATTCCATAGATTCCAAACAGAATCTGACAGATTCTAGTGGAAATTTGATCACAAATGTTGAGGATATGGACAATTTGAGTATTGATGAGAAGATGGGCTGCGTGGACATTGATTTGCCTTTTGAACCAAGAGAGAAAGGCCTTTTCAACTTCTGTCTTTTAGTCGGTTTGAATTACATGACCGGAGAAGCCTACGTGAAAAACGTCTTCCCAAATCAGGTATAGTTATTACCTAGATAGACTTTGATTATTTGAAAAGATAGTTTAGTTTTAGACCTATTAATAGTTAGATAGTTAGATTTCCTAAGACATATATGAAGATTTTTTCATAGGACTTGAGGAACCTAAAAAAACTACTGTTTGTGTATATCAATATAAAACGTATAGTACAGATAACCACTATTTCTACTCGCATTTTTGGTTTATATGTCATAGTATTTTGTCTAAAATATGTGTTTAAAACCATGTATTTTTTTAGCAAACTTGATTAAATAAGTCTAATCATTATTTCATGCAAATCTAGATTACCAATGTATCTGAGAACGTTTTATTTAATTCTTAAAATTGAAGTAATAAAGTCTAATACTAACCCAAGTAATAAGAGATTATTTGAGGAAATTTATTATACTGATATTATACATATATATATTCAATACCATTAAACTATAATTATATTACAAGATAGATTAATTTCCATTCATCAACTTACTTTTTATTATCTCTTAACTGTTAATTTCTGACCAAGTAAAAAACATAATAATATTTGTATACTATCAAAAAAATAAATTTAACCGATCCTAAGACGAAAGTACAAATACTAAATGCAGGTCATTAACCCCAGGTCCAGGTGCCACCTCACATAGAAAACCTGATCTTCCCTGAAACAATAAGTTCTACGAGTGTTACTGACACAGAGAAAATAACACAAAGTTACTCCTTAGTGTTGACAGATGAGCGAGGAGAGAGATCTTATGGGTAAGACATCCCTACTAATATTATGAATGCTAAAGTAACTGTCTGTCTGTTTGTTACGCTGTCACGCCTAAACCACTGAAATGATTTTAATGAAATTTGGTACAGACATAGAGTTGACCTTGAGAAAGAACATAGGATAGGATAGTTTTTATCCCAGACTTTTGAAAGGTTCTCTTGGAAACGTGATATAACCGAACTCCACGCTAGCGAAGCTGAGGGCGGAAAGCTAGTTCATAATAAATCTGCCATTGTAATATAGTTGCCAACAAGACAAGATAATTTTAGTAAATAAAGTTATAAAGAAATTCATCATATTTATATTTTAGATTTATAATATATTAAGATCATAATTTGTTAATTTAAAAAGTATTCCAATGAAAGTATTTTTATTATTATTATTAATTTAATTGTTTAAAGAATTAAAATTAGTGCGTGGAATCAATTCGCAAAGAAGTGAAACTTCGTAATCTAGAAAAGATAAAAGTAACTAGTAGAAATCATTATTAATTGAACTCATATTGTTTTAAGACATACTTTATAAATATTGCTTACATTCACAATCAACCCATATATACACTCGCTGTGGCTCTTTCTATTCCCTAACGCGTTGAATGTTTAACGCAACATTTGGAAGTTGCGTTAGAAGTTACACTTCAATAATATAACATCCTTTTTTTCCTTTATCTTATCTTTTTTCTTATCTTATCTTTCAGTTATTGTCGCCGAGTGTTACCAGAAGGTGCTACTACTTGCCTGCCCCTTTGTTACTGCCTTATTGGCAAGTATAGGGCTCCAGGATTCTATTATAAGGTAAAAAATGCTATTTATATACATATAATATAAAAATTAATAATTTTTATATAATTAAACTTAATTTATCACCTAATTATATCATATTTTTGTATATTACTTCCACATATTAACAATTTTATTAAGATTTTTTCAAAAACATCAGCTATTTTCAAATATGCATGTGAATTTTCCTAATCCCAATCAAATTATACATTCAAAATATCTAATTTTTTACCAAATAACCACCAAAATTTATAAAAAATTCTATAACAATATTTATTTTCTAGATACTTCAAGAAATTGAATCTCACCACGGCAGTTCAGATATAGAAATGAACATGATACTACAACAGTTATTTGAAACTGACTTCCCAAACCCCGGAGAGAATATAAGTATTATGTATACAAATGATGCTAAGAACAAATGTAGAACATTACCTGACATGAGGCATACTGAGAGAATTATTACACCTGGGAACTCATTACCAGAGTACTATGATCTTGAAAATAATAATGAACCAAAGAAATATGATTGTATTGAACGACCGAGGTATGTATATACATTATTTATATATAAATACTAGAAGATCCGGCGAACTCCGTATCACCCTATGATCAAGAAATATCTGTTACGTTTTTTATTTATATTTTTGGAGTTTACCTATTAAAGCCATAAATCTCCGTGTTTTGAAGTGCGACAGAATGATTGACATATTAGTTAGTTGTCAAATCTAATGTCAAGAAAAAACGTTTGTATCAACAAGTACTAATAAATTAAAAATTAATTAAAAAAACATTGTCCAGCAGACAAAATTGTGAATCTAAACCATTCCCAGATGCCCTTGAACACACACAAAAAATTTCATCAAAATCGTTCCAGTCGTTTGAGAGAAGTTCAGTGACATACACACTCACAGAAGAATTATATATATAAAGATATATATTAATTTCCAGATGCAGAACAATAAAGATGGCGTTAGATCCTCGTGCCGAAGAGAACAGCTTGTGTGTTATGTTGGATCACTTGGGAGCGGGGCTGGCCATTAAAGTGTTCGGTTCACTATTACTGGAGAGGAAGGTCATCATTATGGGGGATCAACTTAGGTTAGTAATAACTATTAATGTATAGAAATATAATATAAACTATGTATCACAGACTTATTAATTTAATACTCGTTTTTGTGTATGACTTCGCTTTAATTTTTACATTAGTAATATATGTATAGCTGATGTGTGAACTCTATTCCGTTCTAGAGGACATAAATAACCAGATATTGGAGTTTATTAAGTTTTTTTGATCGAACAGAATTAAATATCCTATGTCCGTCTCCTTGTTCTAATCTATCTCTCCATCAATCTTCATCCATATCCGTACAGCCGTTCATGAATTATAAATAGTGTAACTGACACGATTTTCTTATTAATTCATTCTGATTGTTATATGTATATGATATTTTTATTAGTATATTAGAATTAATTTAAGGATTCTTCTGTTTTGACTATAATAAATTAATTCAATATTTTATCTTTTTATATTTGAAAAGATCTAGATATAAACATGTCAATAATAGTTTTATAATAATAAGAAGAGATGAGAATCATTAAGTTACTCATGTTATATGTCATCAAATAATTAATGTTTCTTTATATTAAAATTATGATTACATTTATAGATCATTTAAATGTTGACTAAAATAATAAACAGTTTAATTTAAATGTTGACTACAATTATAAACGGTTTCATTTAAATGTTGATTCAAGTAATGTACAGTTCCATTTAAACGTTGACTAAAGTAATATACCGTTTCATTTAAATCTAAACTAATATACAGATTAATATAAATTTTGACTAAAGTAATATACAGTTTCATTTAAATCTTGACTAAAACTATATCAAGTTTCATTTAAATGTTGACTAATACATTTATTTCCTCCACAGTATAATATCCTCGTGCCTAGAAGCGCTCCAGCATGTATTATATCCGTTCGTGTGGCAACAACCGTTGATATCAGCGATTCCCGAACAGATAGCTGGCGACGTGCTCAGCGCGCCGCTACCTATGTTGGCTGGGATGTTGGAGCATCCCGCTACCGGACTGCAGGATGTGAGTACATACTAGCTGTATGTGAATTAGAAAAGGGCTGTTTTTAAGGTTTTTATACAGGGTGACTGGTGAATTACTATCAATATTTAAGGAGAATACTCGGTACATGATTCTCATTCGAATTATGTAAAAAAAATAGGTACTTAATTTTTGACCAAATTTCCGTATAAATAAATAAAGTGTGGACTCGTTCCAAGTGTTCCAAGTGAGGACGCGTGCGGCGGCGTGCTGATACAACACCACGCCCCTGCGCGCGCGCGTGTGTGTGTGTGTGTATACCTAATCTGTAGGGTGTTCATACGATGCGTAATTAATTACATAACTTTTGGTTAACTTTACTTAGAAGTTTATTAATATTTATGTTATATTAATTTTTATTTTGTCATATATGATCGCCAAATATCACGTCCTCAAGTATCGATAGTAATTCACCAGTCACCCTGTATATTTATATATATGAGTATTAACATAAGAAATCAATGTTGTTGGGTCCAACTTCGCTGTAAAATAATGGATTATGTTAAACGCGTTATTTTTGTTTTGTTTTTTACTCATTGACCTCTATAATTTTTTTGCAGTATAGTGTATTTTCTGTCCAAATTATTTTTTTAGAAATTACCATATTACAATCCACAATTTTGGTCATTCTCCTCTAATTTTGAATTTATCTGAAATTTTATATAACTTTGAGTATTAACTTTATTATTAATATTTACAGGGCATGTTGATAGATCTAACAAATCCATCGAAGGTGTTATTCTATCAGGGAGACGAGTCCACCATACTCCCGACGTCCGCCTATAAGTTACTCAAAACCTCACTACATATGGAAAGCATCAAACACAAGGATAAGTCAGAAGATATGAAAACAAGAAATGTCATGATATCTGAAGCATTCCTGAGATTTTTTGTGGATATTTTGGGAGATTTCTGGAGATTTTTCTCAATGGGTGAATTAAATGATGGAGATTTGGGAAAGGATGGCGTAATATTTGATGTGAGTGCAAATATATATAGACAATAGTAGTTTTAGGTTTAAATTTGATATTTAACTTATTATTACTTGACCAAATTAAAAAATGTCAATTGAGTGGCATCTATATTAAAGTTCAGGAATTGATACGAAAAATCAATTTTCAATATCTAAAAAATAACTATCGATTGTGATAAATTTCATTTCTATATCAAAAAGCATGTTAATTAATTTTCTATAACTAATAATAACATTTCATCCACAGAAAGATTCATTCGTGAAGCAGACTTCATCCAAACAGAATCAATATTTCCTCGAGTGGTTCACTGAGACAGCTATGTTCAACCACTTCATACAAAATATGGCCGTATGTTACAAGACCGCACCTCACACACCAGCCACCTATCACGCCAATCTAGAAACCAATCTAGTTGATCTAGTTGATACGCCGCTACCGAACTTCTACGAACTATTCTTTGAAAGGATAAAAAGTAGATCGAAATCACAGAACGGTGACAAGTTAAACTATAAGAACGCTGTTAACAAGAAAGTTAAAATGTTGAAGACAAAGTTAAGAGATCTGGTCGCTTGAATCTAGATACATGAGTGCGTCAAATTTATTTGTCTAAACGATTAAGACCATTCTACTTGGTACTAATAGGTCGGTTAAATCTATATGACTTGAATAAATACCATTTTTTGATAAGAAAATCTAGATACTCTGTAACTCACGTTTGGTCGAGTCAATCTAGATTTTTCTATTTGGTCGCGTAAATCTAGATTAACCGATAGAGTACCATCTATTTGGTCGTTTTAATCTAGATCTATAATCGGTACTATGTATTTGATCGTTTAATCTAGTTCTTCCCACTCATTATATTATATGGTTACTCCAATCTAGATTTTAATTTATCTAGTATTACTTTGTCCTTACTATTTATGTTTTTAATGCGCTAGTTAAAATTAAAAGAAGTAAGTTTTATTAGTTTTAATTTTAAATTTGTCAGACAATCATTTTAATGAAATTGATTTTTAAAACAGTTAAAAAAATATGCTGATTAATATTAACTAAGATCCTTTTAATATATAAAAAAATTAAACTTTGTTAAAAATATAGATAAAAAAGTATCTGAAAAGAATAAAAATATTGTTGAATATTTTGGTTATATTAGAATTAATTGGACAAACAAGTAAACATACAATCCACATAAAAATATATATAGTATTATTTAATTGCTAAATATTATAATGTAAAATGTGTGTTTGTCCTCCCCAAAATGCTGAATCAATTTTCATTAAACTTTAGTTAGCTATCGAGAAAAGTGCCTTTTAATGAAAAATTTTAAATATAAGTTTGTTATAAGCCAACGGTACTAGTATTCAATTAATTTTAGCTATTTATATATCGATGGAATGATTGGTACTTAAAATTGAAGAGAAATGGTTTTTATTAACCGACTTTGTCTAAAACAGTGTATGTTATACATATATATTTGTATTTCCTATTAAAAAATGCATACTCCTCTTTAAAGTCGGTTAATTTATAGCCATGTATATAAGGCGAATGATCATCACAATATATATGTTGTATATAAGCTAAGATATACATTCCTTAATATATAATTGAATTTAATTTTGATATAGAAATTTCATGCGTGCCTTTATATCTCTAGTGCTGTTACATATGCTTAAATAAATAGATTTTTTAACATTATACATATATATATATATATATATATATATATCACAAACATGCTTCTACATAGATCTGTTTTTTATATTTTTTTTATACTCATAATTTATCCGGGTGTATTGTTAAAAAAGTAACGAGACAACTTGAAGTATGAAAAATAATGTTTTTTTATTCTCCTAATATTTTGTATGCAAAAATTTTTTACAGTGTTTTTTTATAAGTTTCCAATGTATAGTTTTTTATTAAGTATTGTAAATAAATACGAACTGAAAATATATTAGTTTTATTTAATGTATTGTGAAAGATGAAAAGTGTTGCTTACTTGAGAGAATCGTCTTTAGACAATTTTTTTATAGGAAAAGTGGGAAAATGAGCAGACGGTCTACTTGATGGAAGGTAGTACTATAATTAATAAGAGATGTTGTGGATGAGTTGCCAACCTTGATTGAGGGAGAGAGAAAGGAAAGGGTGGGAAAGAGATAGAGCAACTATCTCTCTCACTCATCAGAAACGCAGCCATTAAAGACTACTTCACGCCGATCTTCAGTGAGAGGGTGGTACTTCAACAAGACAGACCATGTTCGAGCTGTAGTAATGATTTTTTCGAGCTGTAGTAATGATCACAAAAACTGTATTAGTAGATGTGTATATTGTTTATTTTTTTATATCGACTTATCGAAAGTATAAAATCTAGAAAAGCCTGGAAGTATTGATTAGTTTCATTAAATCCCTTCCTAACTTCCTACATCTCTGAAGACTATTAGTATAACATAAATGCCTGTAATTCTTGTGGCAAGATATATGATTTTCATCGACCTATGAATTTTTTGTGCCATAGAATTCAGTTTAAGGATACTATGGGAATATTGTCTCAAACTCGTTCCACGCGAGTCCCCTACTCATCGAAATGAGGGTGATATTTTACCACATACGTACAAATAATAGTGGGGGCCATCTGATGTAAAATTACACTGTAACCTATATATGCATGTGAGACCAGCGTTATCACTTTGAAACCATTTGGGTGTCTTAAGTAACCTGAGAAAATTAATCAGGAATATATGTATATAAGACCTTCAAAGCGTCACTGTTGCACTTCATTGGGGGGGAGGGATTTAATGAAAATTCTCACAATAAGAGCTCGCGAATCCCTCATGATCGCGTTTATATTCCCTAGGATAGATGGATAGATATAAAACTATATTTCTATTATATCCCTACTAATATTATAAATGCGAAATTAACCCTGTCTGTCTGTCTGTCTGTTACGCTTTCACGTCTAAACAACCTAACTGATTTTAATGAAATTTGGTACAGAAATAGAGTAGATCTTGAGAAAGAACATAGGATAGTTTTTATCCCAGACTTTTGAAAAGAAAGCTAGTAGTAAATAAAAAAAGCCAAACAGTGACGGTGGTGTTAAATTATTTTAGTCCAGTTTTGCTTTCTCAGATATTTCTTTAAATATTTGCTTCATCCTCAATTGTCAGCCTCAATTCCTGGTTTCAAATCACCACAACGTACTGCTTAAAGTCCCCTTGACCCTTTTATAAACGATCCTCAAACAGATTACTATAGTCATTGTCCACCCACGCACATACCCAAATATGCCAAGGCTCAAATAAACGATAATTTGACGACATTTTTTCAACTCGTTAACATTAAATTTGTCAAATTTTACAGTAATGTGCAAGTTTGCTAAATATTATTATAAATATTTACACAATTTAACGTGATTAATTATATGAAGCCACGCTTCAAGACTTTCAAGATCACAAAAGATTCAGAAATGATGCATATTGTATGGAATAATGCCTTAGAAATACGAAATGGTACATTTAATACCGAGAATGAAAAATCAAATGTTAAATAACTTGACCTAAGAAGTAGAACATTATAAAAAATATATTATCAACAGTTTTTTATACATTTCAGAATTAAAAAATAACAAATAATCCAAATAATTGGTTATCAATAATATTTAATTCAGAAACATTTGCTAATATGGGTACGACCGCGCAAATTGGCAGGTGACAAATATACGAAGGAAACTTGCAACATATAAAAATAACACGCTAATTATAACATAATATTTACAATAAACATGGAAAAAAAAATATTGGAAATTCTAGAAGACGGTTGAGTTCACAAATAAAATAACAGAAGTTTGAAATGACATAAGTCTTATTTAACTAAAGATATATAATACTTTATTTATTTATTAAACTTAATAAATTCGTCGTGGTGTCCTAGTTTCTAAAGGCACGCATCTCATGCATGAGGGCGCGGGTTCGAAACCTGGCAAGTACCAATGTGATTGTTCCGAGTCATATGTACTTTATAAGAGTATTTAGACATCACTGACTGATGAAGTTTCGGTTACTTTGGAGTAACCGTGATCACGGGCAGACGAGATGTGACTACACGACAGTAAGTAAGTTTTATTTACTACTGGTAGTATATTAATCTACAGTGTAGTATAATTTTTCACTTTCTTCTTCATTTTCTTGGCAATTTCCCAGCTTTAGCCAGGGTCTGCTTTACATGTTACGAATAGTTTTGACTAATTGTTTTTACGATCGGCCGACTGCCTGACATCAAACCTCTTTGGAAATGCATTAATCAGTGGTATTTAAATTCTCTTAGAAAGTACATATGACTCGGAAAAATCACATTGGTACTTGCCAGGATCGAACCCGCGCCCTCGTGCATGAGAGGCGGGCCATTTAACCACTAGGACACCACTGACTTATAATTTTTCACATTGTTTGTAGTAATAATTTTTTTTCTCCTAAGTTCAATTGAGGTAGGTGTTAGAGCCTAGCTGTAGTCAAGTTACTACAGCTCGAACATGGTCTGTCTCGACCGTGGAAGTACCACCTTCTCACAGAAGATCGGTGTGAAGTAGTCTTTAATGGATGCGTTTCTGATGAGTGAGAGGGACGGTTGCCCTTTCTCTTTCCCACACTTTCCTCTCTCTCTCACACACAATCAAGGTCGGCAACGCATCCACAACATCTCTTATGCTGCAGATGTTAATTTGCGACGGTAGCTACCTTCCATAAAGTAGGCCGTCTGCTCCTTTGACACCTTTGAAATAAAAGAAAGATTATTCTTCTTATATATAATTACTATTCTTAAATGATTCCCAAAACTATTATCAAAGCTAGTTTAAAATTAAAAATACGAAAGCTATTATAAATTAACAATGAATGATCTACATTTTGAAATTTTAATACGAAAAAAAGAAAAATATTTAAACTAAATTGGATAAGATCGTCCATCAGATATATGGCAAAAACAACACCGATAGTTATATTTCATAATTTATAACTTGCATTATAAATTCAAGAGATCGATAAGAATTTCTTAATAAATTTACATATATAGAAGTTAATGATATAGAATATATATTAAAAATATTTAAAAATATATACTATGATGACTTCAGTTTCAATTTTTTAAACGAAAATATACATATGCTCACGAAGTATTAATTATCCTAGCAGCTGAAAAAGAGATTATTTTCACCTTGTTCTTTGATTAGTTTCCAATCCATACTGATATTATAAATGCGAAAGTAACTCTGTCTGTCTGTTATGCTTTCACGCCTAAAGCAATGAATTGATTTTAATGAAATTTGGTACAGACAGAGTCGACCTTGAGAAAGAACATAGGATAGTTTTTATCCCAGACTTTTGAAAAGTTCTCTTGGAAACGCGATATAACCGAACTCCACGCGGGCGACGCTGCGGGCGGAAAGCTAGTAAAATATATCTGGAATATATTCCATTAATTTATTAAAAATACAAGTAAATCCTGGATAACAACTAGTTTATTAAGAATATGTTAGATTTTGTAACTACGTGTTGCTCTAATGATTTCAATCAACTAAAATA